AATCAAAGTTATCGCGCAAAGTTTGGATTTCCTTTCGTCATCTGTGCACGTGAAAACAAGAAGGACGCCATAATCAGTGGCCTGAAAAGAAGGGTCGAAAATGATAAGGAGACAGAGCTGAGGACAGGAATCCAAGAGGTCAAGAAAATAATGTTACTGAGGCTTAAAGATCTGATGGAAGACAGAGAATCAAAACTATAAAAGTGCTGAAGCGAATGATTATGGTTCAGGGGCAAATCCAGGGGCGATGAAGACAGACCCTTTTGATTAAATTTCAGACCCTTTTGATTAAATTTCTCAGTATTTATATCCTCAGTAAGCCACCCCCTTTTCCTCACATTCCTGGTAAAACCTTTGTAAGAGTCACCCCCCCCCCCCCACTAAAATTCCTGGATCTGCCACTGATGGTTTGATTAGATTGAGGGAAGAGATAATATTTGCCAGAGTTGGGGAGGTTTAGGGGCGTAAAGGAGGAAAAGTTGGTCAATGTATATGATCCATGGACATTGAAGCTTTTTGTAATATAGATGTAGCCAATAATGGGAAAATCTTATTGTAATAATTTATTGCACTCTGCTACACAATATTTTTCATTGTATTCTTAACATTATTATGTACACTCATAACCTCAGTGATATATACATTTTTTTGGCTAACCTTAGCTAGTACTACAATGATATTGCACTATTTAAAATTATTCTAAATTTTCATAAGAATTCAAAGGCAAAATGCAAGCTATATAAATTGCACATTAATTCTGAATAAGTATTTCAGTGCAGTATTAAATTATGGTTATGGATTTCCTGTGGCTTCCTAAACACACTCCCTTCCCCTAAACTATTTACAATCAATGCAGGTGCCTAGGTTACAAGCTGTTTTTCTAAAACTGTGAAATGTGAACATATATGGAATTTATCGAAGGATCTCTAGCTTAAGGGAAGTTCAATTTTAAATTGGGGTTGAGGAAGTTAGAGGGGAGGGTCTAGAGGTGGATCCAGGGGTGGTGCCATCCCCCTTTTGCTCAAACTTCTCAGTAAGTCACTCCCCCTTTTCCTGGTAAACTCCTTTGTAATAGTCGCCCCTCTTTTCAAATTCCTGGATCTGCAGCCACTGAGGTCATCAGTAGCAATTTGAGCTTTTGTGGAGGCTTAAAGCTTTTTCTTTCAACAAAAGCTGTTATCTTGTCGAATTAATAGGAGGGTTATAAATATAATCTCTTACTTGGTGACCTGGGGCGGTCTATAACTATTTTTAAAAAGTTTATTTCAAATTTCCCAGCCCCTTCACCCTCCAATAAAAAGCATATGTTACCAAAGCAAAATGCTTTTCAATATCAGACTCCATATGTCATTCCCTTGAGTATTTCTTCATCACTTGAAAAATTAAAATTGTCTATATTTTGAAATATTGGTGTACCAATGAGCTGCTTCAAGTTGAGATAAAGAAAACTTGATCATCATTCATTATAACTTTTTCTGTGCATATCTCTGGAGAGCACTTCAGAGTGAGACTCAAACATTCTTGCATTGGCATGGCAATAACCAAATATTGTGGTTGACAAAACAATCCAAGTCGAGGCTCTGGGGAAAAGATGTAATCATGATATGACCATACATAGTATTTTTTCTTTTACTCTTTTTCTATTTTATAGACTTGAGTAAAATATGTTCTTKGGCTTCCTGTGGGAACAACTGGGAACTGAAAATGGCAGCCAAAATAAGTATTGATGAAGTTAATAAGCTCCCTCAAGAGGCTTTCATAGAACGAT